AACATTCAATCCCTGCCCCATCGGCTGTCGTCACTTCCGCTTAGTAACCATGGAGACGGAAGGCCGCGGGGTGGGGGTGAAGATGGCGTTGCTGGTTTGCTGCAGGGGCCGGGCCGGGCCGGGCCGGGCGCGGCGTCTTCTTGCACGCTGCTTGCAGCGGATAAGGCCTCACGGCGTGGGGCCCGGCCCGCAGTTACTCTTCAACACGCGGGGGGGTGTATTTCTTAAAGTTTGCTGCTCTTCTCTGCCTGACGAGTGGCTCAACCTTGGACTTGCGTGTGTAAGCACGGGGCTTTCGTGTTGGTTCCTCAGTTAAACATTTACCCGATTTAATACTAAGCTGTGAACAAGTTAACACCATGCAGGCTGAGACGAGGCAGCAACTATGCCAACCGATATCAAAGCTCGTGGCCTGTGGTGTGGTAGTTTACAGCTGGATGCATGAAAAGGTAGATCTCGCGAGCTGAGGAGTTGCAGCTGGACATCAGCTGCAATTGCCAGCTGGACCTGCTGCGGTTAGGTGGGGAAGAGAGTGGGTGGGAAAGCTGGTTCTCCCAGGACTGTAGGAGACGCACCTCACCTGTGTACTGCTAACACCAGCTGGGATCTTTGAGGATAGACAGCGCTTCCTTTCACTTCTTCTTGCATTTTGTTTGGTTTTTTTGTAAGCCCTCTTTCCTAAAATACTTGAGTTGTCATATCAGTTTCTTCTACTGGAAACCAAATAGCACACAGGAGACTTGAACTGTCCAGAGAAAATGAAGCACTAGTGAAATATTCTTAGAAAATAATTACCTAACCCTGCAGACAGCCCAAGGCACCTACTGTTCTTGTTTCATGTTACCAGCTTTCTGAGAAGAATGTTGTGATAATTTGTATCTTGCATTCTTTTTGTCCTGTGCCCATATAGAATTTACCTCGCTCCTTGTGTCAAGTTCCTACGCTCTGCCTTAGTAAGAGAACTGCCAGTGTCCGCTGCAGCTGCAGTGCTCATGCTCTCATAATGCCCGAGCACAATCCCCAAGAGGCATCACCACTTCTGTAGAAATCACATTTCTGACCATAACTGATTTCTTCTGTTACTCAGTTACAGCTTGCAGGAGTTATCATTAAATAGTTTGTTCAACAAAGTCAGGCAAAAGAAATGGTTAAGAGAAAAAGCTTTTTAAGCCCAAAGAGGGAGAAGTGAATGCAAAAGGTGTGGAAGCTTCACATGTATAGAAACGTGGTTCACACTGCAGAAACAACTGCTTTCATTTGTGGGACAGGAATGAACTTGCATGTTAAGTACTTGAGCTGTGGTATGTGTAGGTGTGTCTGTGAAAGGAGCAAGGAAGAGGTAACGGCTTCAGGAGAGCTATATATTCGTTTTATTTTTTTATATATATATATAAAAACCCTGCCTGCAAGAAACACCTGAAACAAGACGACTCTGAATTTTTTGACTACTTGTGAAATCAGAAGAGGTAAAAAAACCCTGACGTTCTTATAACAGCTCTATGGTGTTATACGTGTACAAGGTGGGGGAAGTGGGGAATAAGATATGTGTATATTGAGGTAAAACACAGTATTTTTGGTCTACTTCCTAAGATAATTTTGGATATTTAGAATGTGGGAACCTTCTTCCTTCGGGAGTATTTCTCAACAACTGAAGTATGGAGTCAGCATTTAAGCCGTAAGGGTTTCATTGGGGAGGCGGGGAATTAATTCTCTTTTCTACCACAGAAAATGCCTCCTGAAGATTCAGTGGGGAAATGCTGGAAAGCTAGTATCATTGTGGCTAGGACGAGATTTTAGCAGTATGTGATTAACATGGGTTTTTTTGAACTTTACACATTTGTTTTTCTTGTTTGCTTGTTGGTAAAACTTGAAATCCTCAGGTATTTCCAGTCCTCATAAGTGTGTGTGTGCTTGAAATGTGCTGTTGTTAAGTTACCTTGAAAAGGAATTAGTCAGAATCCTTTTTAGTACAGCATAAATAACTTTTGTTTTACAGGCTTAGGAGAATATTACAATATGCATGGCTGCTTTCAAAGGGGGTCACAGAGGAAAGTTCACTGAGCAGAGATTGATCGCGATGCCTGTATGCTAAGGGAGTGCTCTGATCAGGGTTCAGATCGAATGCAAAGTTCAAAGATGATGCAGGACACGTGGTTTGGTCACTGACTAACAGAAGAAAAAGAAAGCATGTGCCCTCTGATGTTTGTTTCCTATCGTGGCCAAAGCAAGTGCAGTGTTGCCCCTATGACTGTCTGAGCTGTTCAGTGCTTGACTGTGCTGTATGTCTTGGAAGATGCATTTTAGTGCCTTGCCTTGCTCTCAGAAACCCTGGCTGAGCTGCTGCCCGGTTGAGCCTGTGACGGTTCTGTATGAAATAAGTCTCCTGAAAACTAGAGCAGCATTAGCTGACATGACTATGGTGATCTTAATTCTAGTTGTATGCTGTCTGTATAAATAATTTCATATTGATATTTCACTACGAAGCCTTAGGGCGTGATTTCTTGGTTGTGCCATTTACAGGTCTGTAACAAACAGGAAAAGCATGCTTATTCAGCACTTTGCAGCATGACTCTTAACTATCAGCATACATATGCTTTATGCCTGTAAGACCCCAGACCTGCTGAAAAGACAACGGGCTAGAGCCTGCACTCCTCAGGTTTTTCTACAGACCAGCAAACATTTTTCTCAACACACTATGGTGGGAAGATCCAAAGCTGGGCTCCATCAAAAGAAGCATGGCCAGCAGGTCGAGGGAGGTGATTCTGTCCCTCTACTCTGCTCTGGTGAGACCCCACCTGGAGTACTGCGTCCAGCTCTGGAGCCCTCAGCACCAGAAGGACACGGACCTGTTGGAGCGGGTTCAGAGGAGGGTCACAAAAACGATCAGGGGGATGGAACACCTCTCCTATGAAGAAAGGCTGAGAGAGTTGGGGTTGTTCAGCCTAGAGAAGAGAAGGCTTTGGGGAGACCTTATTGCAGCCTATCAGTACTTAAAGGGGGCTTATAAAAAAGATGTCGGCAAACTTTTTAGCAGGGCCTGTTGCGACAGGACAAGGGGGAATGGCTTTAAACTAAAGGGGGGTAGATTTAGACTAGATATAAGGAAGAAATTTTTTACGCTGAGGGTGGTGTAACACTGGCAC